TGTAGTCCCAGAGGTCATCCCTCTTCACAGCTGTTCTAACTGTTCAGTTCTGTAAAAATATTTGACTCAAAACCAAAAACGGTATTTCTATACAATACAACCACTGATAAATGGTGATCACATTTTTAGTACAGTCATGACAAATCATTTGCACTTGTCCTTTTCAGTTTGTAAGGTGTAACATGCCAAATAACCCTGTTGCCTATTATTTTTTAGACAGCTGGTTGGCATGGAGCATTGACCCAAACAAACATAGATAGTCAGAACAGCTTCTGGCTCACTGATTGGCTGAATTGGGTCATGTGTTTGGAAATCTGACCATGACACCAGAGCCATCTGCGTGACACAAAACAGTCAGTCTGTCTTTGCTTGAGGAGTGTTGAAATACACATGAAACTGCAATGTGTCTTGTGCCACACTGTTTAATCTATCTAAAAGACAAAATTATAACAGTATTATATGGGACATGGCAGCCAAGCAAACACAAGGTAGGTGATCAGGTTGATCATTTAAAATTAATCATTTTTTGAGGTGTCCACTAGATGGCTCTCTCCACCACTGCATATGCCCAATTGGTACAACATAGCCAAACACATTTTATTCCAGGCTTGTGTTGGGTTTGGCAGTGTGACACAAGGCTTATTATGCAATTGTAAGTCTATAAATAGACTAATCATATCCTTATGCCACAGAAGCAACAATGACTGACCTGGATGAGGTCAGCCCAGGCCTAGCTGCAGGTTGAAATTACTGAGAAATTGACATGTGACATTGTCAAGGGGGCTTAAATTTATACCATCAATGAACAATACACACTGAGAACTGGCTTTGGAACACATATTTTTAAAAAGCACTCCATATGCAACACTTCATGCAACTCCCTAAAACACTCCATATGCAACTGCACAAGTAACCATAAACTGACCAACAAAGTTTAAATGAAGTTTTATTAACTAAGTTCAGGAGGAGTACATTCAGATAATTAACACGAGTGAACAGCAATCAGCAAACAATGATAAGAGGGTAGGCTACATAGACTCAGCAGTCTTATCTCGATCCATTGACAGTTTGCAGCATCCCCCCTCCAGCCCTTCTCCAAACTAGTTCTCCACGTACACTCCCTAGTTCAAGTAGCTACACTGGGTTCAGGCTGAATACCTCCCTCCAGACAACACGCCAAATACGCATTAAATCTACTTCCTCAAAATTATATGTAAGTGTGAATTTGTGAAACACCAATAAAATGATAAGCCAGCATAATTTATTATGCATAACCCATTTACAGACACTACATATGAATAGAGTTTAAATAATATACTGTATCACCATGAAACGTCCTCAGTTGATTACTTGCAAGTTATTCAAATAACAAGTAGGCTAGCCTAAAAAATTGTATCATACATTTTTGAAATTTGTATGTTCAATAATGCAAATTAGGCATTATCTCATTAAATATGCACGAATTTGCATATCTTTTCGGTAGATAGCCAAGTTCTGAACATATGATAAAGCCAGGTGCAAACAAACAAAATGAAAAAAAAGTTCAGAGGGATTTCAGAATATATGCTTTCATTACCTAGGAAATCTAATTATACTGTCCATAGCCTTAAAAAAATAGTTTTTCGTCATTTTATTTATTTATTTATTTATTTATTTATTTATTTATTTTAAAAAATCACACAAATCAGGCCAGGAATGATTGATTAATAAATCCCTCTGAAAATATCTTGAATACTGCTAAGTGCATAACTGGAAAGTTTGGTGTAGCCTATAGGTGCTAGGCTGAGATGTTTGTACTGGAGAATGACAAAAAAAACTCAATGAATTAATTGGCAGAGTAGCCTACACCACGATATCGGCCATGACTGACAGTAAACAGACGGAACACAGCGTGACGGATTGGAATGCTAACTTCTTGGTAAATTCGGGAGAAACTGCTGCAAGTAAACAAAATGTAATAAAATAAACAAATTAATTTTCAACGTTTCCTTTATATCAGCTTGAAAGAACACATTGAAGGAGTAACTAGCCCAAATTTTCAGATCACTGCATAAAAAAATCGATGTTTTGCCTACCATGTCTCGCCTTTCCACTTTCCAGACAGTGCGAATTCTGCTCTCCAGCGCCTTGCTTTTTCAAATGCGCGTTGCAATGGTAACCATTATGTAGGCCTACCAAAAAGCTATAAGAGGATTAGCGACTCATTGAGTGTCCCTTCGAGTGAACAGGTTTGTCATTTCAAACAAACAGCAACTTGACACAACAAATAATAAACGAATGTTAGGCTATAGTATAAATTACTGACTGTGAATAAGTAGCCTATTTAAGCCTTCTTTATTCTTTATTTTTCTGAAGTAGCCTACGTGCATTAGATATCACCATCAACTTTTAAAAAATGTTAATCTGTCTAATAAAGTACACAACCAAACAATGAAAAAAAAAAGCTTGTAATTAAGACTGTAACATTGCCTTACCTTTCGAGAAGAAAGCAGGCAACTTTATAGCGCCTCTTTTGAACTCTTTCTACTGCATTAGCTCTATCTGGAAAAACGCTATCCTGACACTAACTCGTGTTTTTTTTTTTTTTTTTTTTTTTTTGTAATTTCCGGTCACGTTTACTTTTATGATCTATTTTTGGACTTTTCTGGCTTTGGACTTTTATAACTATAGAATCAATTTTTAATGCGCATGTGAACGGCATCATCGTTTAGGTTCGCGTAAAGTCATACATTTTTACCTTGCACTGACTGTAAATCCAGCATCTAGTTCATAAACGCCAGAGGAGAACTGGCCCCCGACTGAGCCTGTCTTCTCCCAAGGTTTTTTTTTTTTTTTTTTTTTTTTTTTCTCCATTGGCTCACCTGATGGAGTTTCGGACACCAAAGGTCACTTGATGGAGTTTTTCAGTTCCTTGCCACTGTTGCCTTTGGCTTGCTCAGTTGGGGATATTCAAATGAATTAACCAATCAATAAAACCCTTGATCAGCTTTACCAAACGTGGATGTTTTTTCTACTAAGAAACGAACATTGTTATTATGTTTTGATTGATACTGTGAAGCTGCTTTGATGCAATCTATATTGTGAAAAGCGCAATATAAATATACTTGACGTGACTTGACAAGTTCACATTTTTTATGATATCTACATTATTAAATGATTGAAATTACATTTGTTTATTCCCAAAGAAGTGCCCCATGTTCTGTAGAATCTCATTTTATCTGTTCATTCTGCAGGCTGGTGACGAAGCCTTCATTCAAAAATCCTAAGAGGAGACCTACATTCTCAAATTCCATGACAGGTCTGACGACATCGGGATTGTCCTTGAAGGCCAGAACATCTTGTAAGGCTTGGATACCGTTCCATTAGCTACGGCAAAGCTTTTTGGTCTGATGTAGGCTATGCTTTAAATCTCAACTACCCTCCTGAAATGAAAAGTACCTTTGAGGTACTGCAGAAGATAGTCATGGAGCTGAAAGGCTGCACTCATATCCAAGAAAGCTCAGGTTCTCAGAAACACTCTATGAGTTTCCATGGTACAGCAGGCGGACACAAGGTTTCTGGAATAAGGACTTTTTTTTTTTAGTTCACACACTCACAACACAAAGAACTTGCTTTATTCAAAAGGTTACTCTGTAAACAAGCACAATTCAGATCTGAGGGGGGAAAGCTCCCTTTTGCCTCCTCATGGTGCCAGGCCTGGGTCACGCTAAATCCTTGCAGATGTTCTCTAACACAAATGACTCAAATGTCTAAATGCATTATTGAAGTAGGCATGTCCTATATTAATATAGGCTACATGACTAAATTTATACCAGTACTTTTAAAATTACATTTTTATCTAGGCTACATGTTATCACAATATTACAGAGCCCTTGATTTAGGGGGACATGATGACATGGAAATACAAGATTGGAGGAATAATTATTTCAAGGATGTTCACTAGCAAAACTTGCATTCCCCCGAGACACTCGCAAAGATTGCAAAAGTTTTCCTAACTAATGAAAAGTTTTGCTAGCGAACGCAAAGTTTGCATGTGGAATGATAAAGTTTTGCTAGTGAAACCAAAGTTTCTCTGTGGAACGCAAAAGTTTTGGGAGCAAACGCAAAGATTCACGTAGGAATTCAAAGGAGTTTAATCATTTGTAATTCCCCTTTGTCTGTGAATAAAATATGAGATGAGAGTGAAAGAGAGGTCTTTAAGTGTTATATTGCACGTTGCTGGTTTTGGCTAACCTCTCACCAAAAACAATAGCTTCACATTTGCACATCAGTAAGGAGGTATTTATCACTCAGATGTCATCAATCAATCAGCCTGTTTCATTACTTAATCGTTAATCAAAGAGGATAATGATTAGAAAAAATTATGATAAAATAACGCAAAATTAACATAGGTCTTTAGGCTACAGCATGCTAGCTTAGGAAATCTGAAAGAAATAGGGAAGGCTGACTGACTAAGGTAATATTTGCTGAGTTTTAGTCAATATTTACAATGGTGTAGTGATATATAAGAACTTTGGCATGTAGATGACCTGATTTTGGAGTCATGGGATGGGGCAAAAAAGGGACCATCTGGACCTTTGGACCATGGTAAACACACCATTGTTGGGTCTTAATGATGGTGTTATATACATTTATATGTTAGTGTCAGTGCTAAGTTTAGAGTCACGGTTCATTACAACCTTCAGAAAATAAAGATACACTTTACATATAATGGCCTACATTCACAGAGGGCAAACCACCACACTTAAATAAAGATTACCGTGCTATGTCACCTTCATCTGAATGTAGATAGATAGCATTTACAAGTCTTGCAATAAATGATCTAATCAACTACTAGCCATTAGCTACTATACCAGAGAGGGTGTCAATTTAACAAAACCATGGCAACTGACAGTATATTCACACGTGTGTGATACAATCTGCACCGGCAGGGGTCCCCACAGCAACTCTATTCCAGTGATAATTGGTCAAGACAAAAATCGAGTTGGTTTTGGGGTGTGGAATATGCAAATATGCGGGACGAGTCTTTATTAAAGGACTCGCACTGTTGTCGCGTGTGCCGGCAGACAGTCAGGCTGCAAACCTGGTGTAGTCTTGAAATAACCAATTTTACATTAAAATCAGCGCTCGGAATTGTTTAAAAGTCGTGTGTCTGTCTGCTGTAATGTGCTTTGCTCAAGAGACCACTTTAAACTGAAGCACTTTCTCTATGAGTTCCACAAGGTAAGGACGTTTTTTGTTGTTTTCAATGCATTGTAGTAGTGCCTCTGGTGCAGTTAAACAAACTTATGTGACATACCGGTATGTTGTAATGATGCATAATGACAATGTTTATGTTTTGTCAATGATGACAACTTCTGTGGTTACTGTAATGTTTCGAAGTAACTCTAAGTGAAGCACATTTACATGGATTTAAATGGATAAGTTCATACGGTGGCTGAGAGATCTCAACGCGCTGCAAAAGTTCACAATACAACCAAATACAGAAATCTGCTGCAGAAATTCACAACACAACCAGTATATACGATCCCACGCACTGCAAACAGCACCTCCGCAAGACAGATCAACCCGGCTGGATCATGTTAGCTCAGTGAATCTACATATTTTATTTTTTAAACATTTTATTTATTTAGCAAAACATACAGAGATGAGATGTTTGACATAGCCTATAACGTTGAATACAATATACACAATATATTAACAATATGTTTAATGTCATCAAAATAGTAAAATGTACTGAAAAAAATATAATAAATAAATAAAAATAGGTGGAGAAAATGAAACATGAGGGTTAGAATTTAATCTATAAATAACTCTTGAAATTCATACATTATGGTATATTCTAGTGCAGCTTATTAGACCTATATTTATAGAATAGCAATGTAAATGTACAAGAATGTACCATATAGGCTAGATATATAAAGGCTATCATGATCATTTTGCCAACAATGAACCATTGATTTGTTTAGTTTATAATACGTTTTATTTTTAATTTAACAAATAAAACATTTAACATTCAAAACTCATAAAAACAAATGAGTTTGTACTCACACATCTGGGTTGTCTTTTGTGTGTCTTTGTTTAGAATTCTTCATATTCTCAGTCCCCCAATACCGGGTCCAGTTATGCCTGCGGATGTGGCTGTGCAGCTGTACATTACACATTCTCCCCCACTGTGCAGCTTCCTGAGCTCTTATGAAGACTATAGGGCACACAACCTGGTCAAAACCTGCTACAAACCCCTGCGGCCCTGCTTGAGCTCCAGAGCCCACCTGGAGCCCCCCTGTTTGGGCTGGCAGAAACCAAAATCCAAGACCAAGAAGAAGGTTGCGTTTGCAGACTCAAAAGGCATGTCGTTAACAGTGGTGCATGTCTTCTCTACTTCCGATAACAGAGAACCCGTCCCATCCGAACCTCAGTTTAACCTGGAAGACCTAGAGAATTTCACAGCCACTCTGCATATGAATTCTGTCCAGAGGAGAATTCTAGACTTTCCACAGCCAGCGGCAGACTATCTGGATTTCCGTAGTCGGTTGCTGAAGAATATGGTTTGCTTGGAGAACTGTACCCTACAGGAGCGGGCCCTCACCGGCACGATCAAAGTGCGTAACCTGGTTTATGATAAGTCGGTTCATGTGCGAATCACTTTCGACACATGGAAGAGGTTCCAGGATGTTGAATGCATATTTATGAATAATGTCTATGGTTGCCAGGATACAGACACATTCTCATTTGCCATTGAATTACCTGCGTATGTGGCATCTCAGAATAAGGTAGAATTCTGCATTAGCTACAGAACTGGAGGGCAGACTTACTGGGACAACAACGATGGCCGAAATTATGGACTGGTTTCAACCTCTTGGCAACAAAACAATAAATGGAATTCCTCAACTCAGAGTAAGAAACCAAATGAACCCAGAAAGTTAGGCAAGAAAACACAAGACATAACACAAGTTTATAAATGTAAAAGTCCTCCCCAATCCAATCGAATTTCCCCACATTGGCAGAGTTGGGGAAACATTTCAACCTGCAGCCCCTACTGGTGACTTGAGCTGACGTAATTAACTAGCTAACTATCCAAAAGTGTTAAGCTTTTAGCAACAATATTTCTCTCGGCATGAAAACAGAAGAAGATTAACATTCTTTCAAAAGTTTAATATGATTTACCGACTGATTGGAAGTAAAACTTTACCAGATTGCAGAGAGAACAGAGGCTGGTTGAAATTACATGTTGCTACTGTGCAATACAGCATGTTTTATTCTTTATAATAAAAAGTAAAACGTATGTGATGACTGAAGAGCCAAACACATCTTTTAACAAAACCACTGGGGGTCTAGAGTAAACACTATATAACTGCTTTGTCAGTTTATTGTTTAAAATGTGCCTTTGTCTGTCCGAATATAAATTTTGTTAAACATCTGCCATTTTGTGCCACATTTGCTGACTGTGCACTATAAAAAATAAAACCAAGAACAGATCAAGTCAGATTATTTGAAGAGGATATATCTAAAGCCTGTCTCAATGGCCGATTTTCTACGGAGCTCCTAAAGGGACACAGTGATGGAAAAAAAAAAACAGGAGATGGGTGGAAAAACCTTGTCAAACCTTTGTGCTCCCAAACATTTTGCGACAGAACGCATGACATGTAATTTTTCCTCCCGTGTCATGTTTGTTTTCATCACTATGTCCTTATAGGGCTCTGATTTCTGTTGAAGATTTTATTATGGAAGAGATGAACCGTTTGTGTGCAACCAGTGAGGTTATCCTTCATACTAAAGGGGTCAACTTTAACTGGATACAAAAAAATTAGGTAAAAGAAAGAAATATTAATATTTATCATTTTTAATATGTACTCCTTGAATAAATTGCCCTTAAAATGAATTTGGTTTAGATCATTTTGTTTATCAAGCTTTTTATTTGCAAGATGTGCATATGTTTTATTTTATTTTTTGTTTGGTTTGAATGTTAGAAATGTAATGTTCTGAATTTTATGCAATTGAATGCAACATGCTAAATAAATGGTCTCTGTGCCTTAGCTATTGAGCAAATGACATTGTAAAGTTGGTAGCATTAGAATTATTATTATTATTTTAATGTTTTAAGTGCAATTCAGTGAATATGACGTTGTGATATTATGTATGAACCAGATGTGAAGATAAGAATGGCTGTATTTTATTAAAGGAAGAATGGATGCCTTGATAAATGAGTATGTATGTGATGTGATTTTTAAAAATAAAAATTCACTTTTCAGATTCTGTTTCTAATTAACTTGAGTCAGTGCGAATACGTCTGATCTGCCCAATGTATATTTCTATAAAATTCATACTTTCTTGCCAAAGTGACAAGAATATTGTTTCGGTCTGAGGACGATATGTATGGGAATAATATACAGCAACATTTTTTTACGATGTTGTGCAAATATTTTTTCAGAGTTTGGAACCTTGTAAAATGGTGATCTGAAAACTGGTGTGCAAATAGGTGAAAAAAAGTTTTCACTTTAAAAACTTTTAAAGTGGTTTGAAAGAGCGAAACTTATTACATTACATTGGCACTCCTATAGCTGGGTTTCAGTCACGTGATTATTAAGACGATTATTAAATCCGCATAAGCCCCATAAGGTCCGCCATGCTGGTTTATTTACATAGCTACCACAATTCCTTGCACTCAGGTAGTTTGACGTCTTTTCTTCTCTTTTCTACGCAAAGCTTCTAGGTTGCACGTCACACGTAGGCTCACTATTGGCCCACGCTGGTCATGTGTGTGACGCGTGTAATGTACCACCAAGAAATTTTGCAAGCGAAGAAAATGCCAGCAAAGTCCTACAGCGAAGAAATCAAGATGGTTTTTGGGGACATCCCAGACATGCATATTATAGAAGATGATTTGATTGTCGGCTTACTAGATCTATGGGCTGTAAGTTCAAGAAAAGATCATATTCAAGAGGTCTGAACTCGTGTTCATGGGCCATGTGATCAGCAAGGAAGGTCTGAAGCCCGACGAGTCATGATTTCCATTACACGAGAGTAGATGTTAAAACTTCATGCTGATTTGCACTCAACTTTCACCAAGATAGGGCACAAACTAAGACATAGCTTTACACAATCTATGCTTCTCCATCCATTTACGCTTCTTTCCATACGGTGGTGTGACTGTCCGGTGTTAACGGCTACAGTGTACTTGGCGCGTCAGCACACACAACAGCTGCAACTACAGTGTGGTCTCCCCAGTGGACCAGTATGACAACCATCTGGATTGAGCCAAGTAGGGGACATCTCTAGGGTCTTCAAGTGGGCACCGTCCGTCATCAGTGTTTCGTCAACTAGCCCACGACATTTCAAGAGGTCTCGACAGCGAGTCGCCCCCCTCCGTCCCCCACTCAACTCAGCCCAGCTTACTGACCTCTACATCCCTCCTGTTGCTGAGGTTACTCCTTCCATGTAGTTCACATGTGACCTAACCACAATCTCACAATCTCTCCGCAACCCAACCATACGCACCAACCCGTTTGACTAAGGCTGTCGAGCCCCACTGTCTTCGTTACAGTAGGTTCAGTGGCAACAGTTCCGTGTGGCGTACTCCCTACTGCAAAAAACACCAACCCTCATTCAGGCAATATAAACAAATAAACCAACAGACTCTTCAAGTTTTTCAAGAATTCTACACAGCCAGAGTGGCGGCCTGTACACAGCCAGCCAGAATAATTCCAACTCAACCACAGCCAGTTGCTGCTCCTCCCTGCTGATTCAGATAAGTTCTTTACCTTCAAAAGTAACAGCCAAACAATAACTGACGTGCCTGACCCAACTTCAAAAGAGGATCTTCTAAGGATCATAGTCATGATCAATTACTTGTCACAGTTCATACCTAATCTGCCCACAACAACAACGCCACTACATAGTCTACTCAAAAAAGATACAGCATGGACATGGGAACCGCAGCATGCAGCAGCTCTCAAGATTTTGACAACACTTATCAGCAGCAAGCCAGTGCTCAAGTTATTTGACATAACCAAAGACACTGTGATACAGTGTGACGCGTCATCAACCGGTCTTGGAACCTGTTTGCTGCAGGATAGTCATCCCATTGCATATGCATGTCGTTCTCTGACCACATCAGAATAAAATTACTCTCATATTGAAAAGGAGCTGCTGGCAATCTGTTTCGCAACTAAAAAGTTCAACCAGTGCTTGTATGGCAGACCAATGATGACAGTAGGGGATGTCTAGGGACATTCAAGATGCAATTGATTGTTGCAGTGTGTGTGCAAAAATTTTACTTGAACAACACTCAACAGCCACATAAATTGCCAGATTGTCCATGGGCTAAGCTGTGTTCTGACATATTTACTTATAATGGAACAGATACCTACTTCACTCTAAAAAATGCTGGGTTGTTTCAACCCAATTTTGGGTAAAATATGGACAAACCCAAACATTGGGTTAAAAATTTAATTAAAAAAATTAACCCAATGGCTGGGTATGTCCATATTTTACCCAAAATTGGGTTGAAACAACCTAGCATTTTTTAGAGTGTTGTCGTTATACAACGTACTTCTCTACTTCTCTAAGTACCCTGAAGTGGTGAGTCTGAGAACAAAGACAGCACAAGAGATCATCAACAAGCTGAAATCTCATTTTGCCAAGCATGGAGTGCCGAACATGCTGGTGAGTGACAATATGCCATATGCCAGTCATGCTTTTCGACAGTTTGCCACAGATTGGAACTTTAACCTGGTGATGTCTAGTCCTACATATCCTCAATCTAATGGACAGAGTTTGAGGTTTGTGCAAACAATAAAACAGCTTATGAGAAAAGGAGAAGAGAATGGCAAGGACATCTATAGGTGCCTGCTTGATCTCCTATTAGCGGACTTCAAAGTCACTCCAGCACAATTGCTTATGGGTCGCCATCTCAAGTTGATTTTGCCTATAACCTCTCGTTGACTGATGCCTCAAGCCACGGTGCAAGGTAGAGATGAGTTAGTGGCTCGACAACAACAGATGTCACACTACTATAACCGGGAAAAGAGAGAACTGCCTTACCTGCAACCTGGTGAAAGCTGCCGCATCAAACAAGGCAGCATGTGGAACAGAGCAGTTGTGGTACAACCTCATCCCACCCAACGCATTCTCACCCCAAGGCGTCACCTTTGACCATGCTTCAATATTTGACGTTTTAGGCGCCCTTTAGCGTCACTTACATTACGCGATCCTACGGCGTCATCTAACTGACGCTAAAGGAAAGCGTCAGTTAGAGGACGCGGTTAGGTGTGGGGTGGGGGTAGGGTACACGCGATCCTAGGGCGTCATCTGACTGACGCTAAAGGGCGCCTAAAGCGTCAGATATTGAAGCATGTCCAAATGCTTCCCAAGGCGTCAGTTAAGTGACGCCTTGGGGGTGAGAATGGGCTGTCCCACACCGCGATCATACACTGTCATGACAGAAAATGGAATTGTATTACTATATCATAACTTATGATAGTTATGATACACTAATACAAAAGAAAATATTTGTATTCTCAAAAATGTCTCTATTTGTACAAAATGCAACACATTCATTCAATTTAGAATTTTGCACACACAAGTTGAAAAGGCCTATGGTTGCGGATAGTAAAACATTTCTGCAACATTAATCAAGTTCATTGATAACTGTGTTTGCACGTATTAATCATTTCGATACTATGTATTCATCCCATTTGCTTTCGTCATTGGCGGAGCAGTCGGTCAATCCCACCTTTCCAGTAAATATGACTTGTGATTGGACTGTATGTCAGCAAACAGCAAAGCATTGGCCAAGAGCAGAAGGCCCTCCCTTCAGGCTTTTTTTTTAAGTTGCGAGGAAGCGAAGCTTCATTTTCGCTCAGTCTGAGTTTCAGAGTTTCAGAGAGCTGCGTGTCAACGCTGCCACAAATCACATGAGTCGCAAGCTTACAACTGTGTTGGTGTACAATTTAAAGTGGGTGTTGTAAACTCAGCTCTGGAAAAATAGTCTGCAATAGGAGTGCAAATGTAATGTAATACGTTTCGCCCTTTCAAAACTCAGTTTTCAGAGTGTCAAAATTTATTTCACCTATTCACACTCGCACACCAGTTTTCAGATCAACATTTACAAGATTTCCAATCTGTAAAACAAACTATACACTGGTAGACCTAGAAACTCGGAAAAAAATCATTGCACAACACCGTATTAAAGGGTGGTGCACTTCTGAAGAAGGAAAACTCAAAACAGCATAGTGTTTGCAGAGATATTTAGAATCTTAATTTTTGATCTTGCAAAACTTTTTTTTAAAGATTTTGACTTTGTTTCAACCTTTCAGAACTTTATTTTCAGTTTTGAATCATGGCAGGATTTTAATATCATAGTAATGTTGCTTGAAAAAACAAACACCGGTGACAGTGAGACCTGAGTTCCTTTACTCTTGTAGCTGTAAGCAAGTTGAGCCAAGTATTCAAGTTAAACATTCAAGCACCAACAAAAACGTGAATAATAATGCAGTTTCCGAGGACTTCGAGAGAAGATAAGTTGGTGTATGACACGTAATGGATATGTGAATCACAGGCTTATAAAATGCTCTCTTTAAAATCATAAAAGCACTTGAAGCAGCCAAAGATTCTATGTTTGCTCAGGGATTTCTCAACTCGATGCGGAATGCAGAGAATGTTGAGAGATTTCCATTTTGTTTGTTTTTTAAGCATTCATGCATATATGAAACAACTCTTTAAAACAGAGAAATGATGGTTGATTTAGACTGAGGAGTAACCTCTGATAACCCTGGATATCAACACCCTCTGCCAAATCATAGCTGAACACAGTTCAAAAATACATTCTGTCATGCCAACCTTATTTCATCTGGTCATCATTTATTAAATCAATGAACAGGAACACCATGTTGATAGCAGAGATTCTTTCAGGATGTTCCATTATCAATTTTAGTGTACAGACTGTGGTAACCTTAAATAACTATGAGAAAAATATGAAGAACATGTCATGCCTCTGTTGGGCAATGCAACTGAATTTTAAAAAGCTAAAAGGTCACATAGGCACAATCACACATACATTCACTCAAACTGCATATCAAGTGGCCGCCAAGTATTTTGCAACTCTTATCTCATTCTTGTGTGCCACTTCCTAATGGAGAACCCAACGATTTTACATTTTATTTCTCTATCTGTCTTCTGTCAGATGTGTCTATTTGTCAATCTGTATTTATGTATTTGTCTATCTGTCAAAGGGACAGCATGACAATAAATAG